AAATGTTGTACGATGAGGGTGGTGAGATGCTGAACAAGTTGCCCAGAGAAGCTGTGGATGCCCCATCCCTGGAAACATTCCAGGTCAGGCTGGACGGGGCTCTGAGCTACCTGATCTAGTTGAAGATGTCCCTGCCCACGGCAGGGGGGTTGGACTAGATGACCTTCAAAGGTCCCTTCCAACCCAAACCATTCCGTGGGTCTGTCAAGAGCAAGAGCCAACCCCTGGCGCAGAAGGTCCTGTGCCTGTCTCTCCCCTGATGGCACGCTGCCGGGTGCAGCGCCACCGCCCAGGGACAAACCTGGCTGTGGAGGAAGTCCTTGACCTTGTGGTACTCTGCCTCGAGGTTGTTCTTGAGGACAATCTGGCACCAGCGGAGTCGCAGCTCAGCATTCTGGGCCTTGGAGATCTTGGGGTACATCTTGCTCAGCCTCTCCACGTTGCCTGCGAGAGGGGGATCGTCACCGCCCCTGCGGGGGCTCTGCCTCCAGCTCCCAGCCCCTGCTCCGAGGGGACTCTGTGAGCCCACCCCGGCTGCGCTGCAAATCCTCTGGGATCCTCCCAGCCATGGGCCAGCCCAGGATCCCCTGAGCCTCCTGGCACCCCTAGCTCCGGGAGCATCCCAGGCACTGGCTGGCTCCGGGCAGGAGGGTGCCCGTGTTGGGCCTCCTGGGGCCAGGCAGCTCTGCAGAGCCACGTGCCCAGTGGCTTGGGTTGCCAGCACAAAGAGTAGGGAGGTCCCTCAGCAAAGACTGCAAGGAGAGGTGAACTCAGGGAGGTGACAGCCCAGCTGAGCCATCCTGGGGACAGCAGGGCTCCTCCTTGCCACTGCATGTGTACCCACACGTCTAGGGACACCCTTCCCCTGGCTCTCCGCTCCCCACTGCGCCGACCGAGGCTTCCCAGACACCAGGAACCTCACTGCTGGACCGCAGCGGGGATGGGCTGATGGCCATGCACCCACGCATCCTGCTGACATCTCCTCACATCCCCAGCCATTTGGCTGGACTGGGGCACGTCACCCTGTGTCTCCCCTGGGCATCGGAGCCCCGGGAGGTGACCTGGCCCTCACCTTCTGGCAGGGGGGATTTCTGCAGGACCTGATCCAGGAAGTAGACCAGCTGGTACGTCCTCCAGGCCGTGATGTCCACAGCTTCGATCGCCTCCATGTTCAAGCCGTCAGCTGCCCAGAGCTCTGCCAGCTCGTCTGCCGGCTTCATCAGCTGCTCCCCTGGCGAGAGGTCGGGCAGGTAGGGGGGCCAGCCCGGCGTGTTCAGCCAGCGGTCAAACTCAAAGCCTGCGACAAGGAAGGGAGGGAGAGCTGGGACAGGTTTTCTGAACTCCACGCCGGGTGCTGCTGCCCAGGCATCTCACTGCCTTCTCTGAGGGCATCCCCAGCACCACCAAACCTGCCCAGGGATGGCGACGAGCAGAGACTAACAGGGTGAGGCTGTTAAGCCACCCTGGGCTCGGTGTGTGCTCGTGCCCCACCACCGCCAGTGAGATGAGCCAGCTCCAGCACGGAAAGCTCCTGCCAAGCCTGGCTGTCCGCAGCAAGGCTGAGCTGAGCCTGGGGCACCAGCTGAGCCTGATCCCAGCACTCGCCAGCGGCTCCACCAGCAAATGCTCATATCCTGGTGCTAGAGACTTGCTGGGCTCAGCTGTCCATGGGGAAACCCCACAGAACAGCACCTGAGCGCAGAGCACAGACTGGATGGAAAAATTCAGGCTGAGCAGGCGTACGCCCAAGCCCAGGTTAATCCCTGATCCCGCGCCGGCCAGCGCTGCACTGCCTCCGTCAGAGCCGAGGCCAGTAGCAACAGCGGCATCTCCAGTAAAACCCACAAACGGATGTGCACAGGGTCTGCACAGGACACGGAACGGCTCCGACGCCCACAGGGTGCTGGTTCGCAAAGCGGCGCCCCAGTCCCCTGGCCAGGAAGGCTCCGTGCTGACCTGGGATGGAGTCCACGCCTTTCTCCTTCAGCTCCGGGAAGTACTCCAGGAAGAAACCTAGGGTGTCGTCCGCTGTGATGCTCTGGAACTTGAACCGGTTCACGTAGGCCTGCGGGGACAGCCAGGGTGTGATGCCGCATGTGCTCCCCCCCCAGCAGTGCTGCCCGGCCCTCCCTGTGCTCCATCTCATGGGGGCTGAGCGTTGCTGAGCCCATGCCAGCCCCTGTTCCCGCCCAGGGGCTCCCCAGCCCTCTGCATCCCCCAGGACACCTCTGAGCATTGCCACCACCTGCTCCCAGCGCGGGGCCAAGCTCTGCCCTCACCTCATTCCCTCATGAACATCTCCGTTTCCCACCTCCTCTTCCTCTCCCCAGTCACCCTGTTCAGCCCGTCCTTCCCGGGGTCCCGCTGCGCTCTGACCTCGTGCCACAGGGTTTTGTATGACTTGGTACCTCCACGTGGTACCTCCCCGTACCAACCTGGAGGAAGGCATCGAACTTGCTCTGGTCCCCCACGAGATGGGCCAAGTAGCTCACGAAGCAGTACCCCTTCTCATAGGGCGTCTCGTTGTACGTGTCGTCCGGATTGACACCTAGAATGAGGGAAAACCCTCAGGAATCATCTGCCCATCTGCAAAACAGAACGGCCCTCGCGTGCACCGAGATTTCTGCTTTCTGTGCTGGGTGCAAGCCTGCCACATTCCTCCTGGAGCCATCGCCTTGCTCGGGTCCCACCGCCAGCGCTGGTTTTATTGCAAGCCGTGAAACACCCCAGCAGCAGGGCTTCCCCCCGCAACACCGCACCTCGCTTGCCCCCTGCTCCCCCCGGCCGGCTGCGGGAGGACGGGGACACCCCACAGACCTGGCTCGATGACCACCCGCAGCTTGTTGAGCGGATGGTCCTCCCCCGTGTTGTCCATGTGCTGGCGCAGGAGGGCCCTTCCCGTCGCAGCCTCCAGGCAGGTGTATGCCGAACCTGGGCAGAGGCAAGCAGGAGGCGTTCAGGGACCCCGACCAGACCCCTGTGTGCTTCGAGCACAAGGGGTGCTGCTACGGAAGGGAAACAGCGTTAGCTTATGGGCTGGGAAAGGAAGAAACTGATAAACAAGGCATTGGGATGGTAGAGTTGCAGAGAGGCATGGCAACCCAGCCCTCGGTTAGCAAGAGGTTTTCAGAGCCGTTTAAATTTATCTGGATGCAGCAAATGGCACCGGGAGCACCTGAGCTGCTGGACGTGACCGTGTGTCCGGGGCTGGGGGGCTCAGGGCGGCTGGTATCAGCTCCCCAAAGGAGCTGCGGGAGCAAGAGGAAGGTAAGGCTGGGCAAGATCGCAGTGCCCACATCCCTGGCACGGGGCTGCGAGGGCTCCATCCATCTCTCGGAGCGAAGGCGGTTCTGTTGCTAACACGAAACCCCCAGGGTGCTGCAGGCTGCTGCTCTTCACCTCTTCCAGGACGCAGCGCAGGCTCCGGCCCCGCATGCAGCGCTTGGAGGGATGCGCTGAGCCGCGGCGCACGGACCCTGGACCCACGCAGGTCCTGCCTGCGATGGCACGGCCGCACGCGGGGACTCGGCACCCCACGGCCGGGCAAGGCCAAGGCACGGAGGCCGGGCAAGGCCACGCACCGTAGACCTCGGTGGAGATGCGCCTCTGGGCGTACATGGTGAAGCCCTCGTTCAGCCAAAACTCGCCCCACGTGGCGTTGGTGACCAGGTTGCCAAACCAGCTGTGGGAGATCTCGTGGATGATGACGTCCACCAGGGAGCGGTCCCCGGCCAGCAGGCAGGGCGTCGCAAAGGTGAGGCAGGGATTCTCCATCCCGCCGAAGGGGAAGGAGGGCGGCATGAAGAGGATGTCGTACCTGCCGGGGAAGAGCAGACGGCTGGGCTCAGCCCCACTTCCTCCTGCGGACGCAGCTGGGGACAGAGGGATGATCCCTCCCCAGCCCTTCGGGAACAGGAGGCCATACCTGCCCCAAACATAAGGTCCAAAGAGCTTCTCTCCAACCGCCAGGAACTCCTCAATCACCCCATCGTACTCCTTCTTTGCAGCCTCAATCAGGCAGGGCTCGGCCCAGACACGGCTCCTGGCCAAGCGTGTAAAAGAGGAAGCTTTAACCATTAGCGGACTTTTACCCTATTGCTTCATCAGACAAAAACTGCACATGTTTATTCCACAGCAAAATAAAAGCCTGCTGATAAAGGAAGCTAATGAGGCTGGTATTGCAAACTGCTGTAATTTCTTTCCTCGTTTCAATGTCAAAGGGCTTTTATATGGCTACTGTGACAGCCGGGAACCCGAACAAACCACCGGCCTTGGGAAGAGACGTGGGACCCTCCGTGAGCAGGGACCCGCTGCTCTCATTCACGTGCACGGGGGTGAAACGAGCAGAGCCAAGGACACCCTCGAAGGCAAGGGGACCCGGCACCGAGGCTCCTCCTCACTCTCGAGACCAAGAAGCACCCTCACCCAGCAGAGCCCG